GGCAAGGTTTCAGCGTGGGATTGAATCATTTGCTGGACGGCATGAAGAAGTCCTTTGACTCAAATAATGGCTGTAACGGATCTCCATTACGAGGCACACAGCTAATTGCAAGCACCTACAACTTCCTGGATCAGGGCAAGAGATTTGTGGACTCCGCTATACGGGATTTTCAGGCCAAGTCGGAGGCGCCAGCAACTGAGTACCCAATCGCCCTGTTGCCCATATCTGTGCCGACTAACAGACGGTAGCGTCTTTGGTCTTTCTAACTAAAACCTTTGACAGTATTGTTGCGATCTAGAAGACCGCTAGGGCGTGGAGCCAAGGTAGGAGATACCGTTGCCGCTGGCGATACCCCGCTTACCATGAAGACAATGGATAATCGGGTTTGGTGCAACGCCTTGACGCCCCCCACGGATGTGGTAAAAGAGAGCAAGACCCCAACAAACAGCACTTCTCGAAGCCTCATAAGCTCAGACAAGAGGACAAACATATCGTAGGCTTGGTCAGGTCTCCCCGGCAAAAGAGCAACCTGCCGCTAGTATCGCCGAGTCGACACGGGCAATGGCTTTACTTCTCTCGCATCTAATTGCGGTACATCGGGTGTGGAACTCACCGAGTACAGCCCGAAGCCTAATCTCTGCTTGACTCTCAAGCCAGGGATTTACATCCGCTGCGCCGCGGATGTCTCTCACGCAGAGACGACGAAGCCGAAACCCCCACGGCCAACAGCTCACGGGATCTGTGCGACGTAGATCGTCAAGAACGAAGTTACCTGCGACGAGATTGCGCGGACCTTTGGCCTGAAGCTGGCCTAGATCGAGCCTTTTACCAAAGGGAAAGACATGTGGCTAGATCAAGTGCGGGCCCCGTGCAACACCCGCAGCCGCCATAGTAGTGAAACGAGTGCGGCACGATGATTTCCGGCGCCGCTTGGTATAAATTGATGCTCATGACGGACCTAATTCTCACTCAGGGTGCTCGTGCTGTAGTGACTTGAGCCCCTGCACAGCCGTAACCCTGCACTAATACGACGTCCACATTCCTGTCGCCGGCGGGCTGGGCACCAAGTTGCCAGAGGCCGCGATGCCCTGCAACTCAAAGTTCGGGAAGTTGATGCAGCAGAACTCTGGGCCGCCAGCCTTATTATTCTCTAGTGTTCTTCACGAGTTGTGGATTCTCGGCATTTTGTGCCTCTAGCTCAGAGCGGGAAGCGCCAACACTGTAACAGCTGGTACACCCACATACGTTGTGTCTTCGCAGCCATTGACTCAAGGCGTGCAAAGATGTCATTAATTTATCCTTAATAGTAGTGGCAGGCCTTTTAGTGTCCGCCTATTTTCAAAAAAGTTGTCGCCTTTGGCGGCTGGGCCCAGCCGACCGAGCCTGCGACGTACAACATGATCCGCTAGGTGGTCGTTATCTACCAGGAGAGTTTTGCTTGTAGGCACCCAGCATAATGGTATAGGACGAACCTACCGGTTAGCCAGAAGATAGTCTCGCCTTTCCCAGATTCCTCGCAGTCCTCGAGAATAGACTGACGTCAGCATCGGTTTCGTTGGAGCCCCGGCCTCGTATTTCTCTTTGCTGGCATCATCTTGACGGGACTGCTATGGTGATCGGTAATATTTTGTGTTCGTGAGTTTATCTTTCTGATCAAAGCAAATCACGATGTATTGCTTCCTCCACCACCTTTAACCCGTTTTGGACTTTCTTTCTCACTCCCTCGGTTGAACTCAAGTTTGCCGCTTGATACTGATCACTCACTCCATATCAAAAGGACCTACGATCTTCACGGCTAGTGGAAATACGGGGACGCGAACGCCTTCGGCTCGTGCGGCTCTCAGTCAGTAAAGTACTCAAACTTCCAAAAGCTGACTTCGAACCCACTGACGTAAGGTACTCTGTCACAATCGCAAAGGTCCACATGTCTAGTAACGACGGGTTAATCACGACTGATCAACACGTTATTTCAAGAGGTGCACCGCCAAGATTCCGAGCTCATCCCTTCATTGCCACATACGAATGAAGTACCGTAGTAAATCAGTGCACGAGACCAGAGGACTATGGTGTCCCAAAATGTGAACATACCTAAGCTGAAAGTATATCTGCTTTCAAATCTGAGAATGACTTCGTACCAAGATGGAGGCTTCTCTGGTTCCTATTCCCCCTTCAAATACTCTCGCTTACCGCTGGATGGTTTGCAATTTTTTGGAAGCCCCAATGCTCAAGTTCGACTCACCCCTCGAACATGAGTCCTTATTAAGCTTTGGTCCGAAACCACCATTTATCACCGATAGCCTGGGTCACAAAATATGCTGCTTAGAGAACTGATGTCGTCTTTACAACCGCCCGATTGACCGTGAGAATGACCCAAATGGACGACAAGACATCCAAGCCTTCGAAGTCAGACTCAGGCTGAGCAATATCAACTTGGCGTTTCTTTCATCATTGCTTAAAGTTCAGTTAAAGCCAGGCAAGATCTGTTGTTTAGTGGTGAATGATAGTCAATAGCATCCAATATTGCACGTATATGGAATCCAAAAGCTTAGATGTTTTCCCACGTTGACGTAGCAACCATCCTGAATGTTTCGGCCTGCGATACTTCAAGTCCTGCCAAGGAATTACCTCGCGTGGCTGAGAATCAGAATCATGCCAATATGCGTTCTGGCCATGTCCGACTTCCCCCATATTTGCGTCATCGGGAAAACATGTGTCTTACGTACCAGAACGTTGACCAACTTTCTCCGCAAATTGGACTTTAGTCTAGACTAACAATTCCCAGCGTGGCAGGTCATACCATCGAAGGCAGAAATGCATTTCTGTCAGATTTATCTTCTGCGGCTGACGGGACGGCCCTATGTGGAATGTGAGTGGCAACCGAATGGGTGCGGGAGGGGCCGGCTGAGCAAATTTTAAGCCATGCTTCCAGTCACTGAATCGAGGACCTTCGAGTTCTGATGTTCCGCATCCTCCTTAGCTCAAGGGGTGAATCCTCAAGTTTCAAGCGTGCAATGTGCGCATGGTTGTTGCATACGGCCTAGAGACGGAGGCTTTTCCTGTCCCTGAAGCGATTGAACTTGGTGCTCGTGAGTCAATACCAAAAGCTTCCTACTGTGCATGAAACTAGTCCATAACTTCAGCCAGTCGTGGAGTTGGAGAATATATAGTGCCTAGTCATGTGAATAAGCAGAATAGTAAATATCTAGACCAGATGGTGCGTTCGCAAAGTGGCTAAGTCATTCTTACAGCTGGAAGCGAAGAAAAAGTATTTATTAACCCGATGAAATATGGTAATGGAATTCAGGTAGAATTTAAGGTGTAAGGTTCAACGTCTTTAAGAAACATCAGACACTGCGGCCCTGATTGGGACATTTTGAGCCCCATCTCTTGCATTGCCCTTGATCTGTTGATAACGAAGATTTCATGATTGTATGAAGTTATACCATAGTCTTAGAGCCTGGCATGGCAGGGAAAATGTATACAGTAATACAAGGTTCTTAAGAAAGTTCAAGAAGGTTACTTCTCGAACTTGGTCTTCCAGTTGCGGCCTATCATGGGGGCCCTTGCACTGAGGTAAAGTGTCGAATCTGTTGAGTCTGACAGTTGTTCATTAGATTTGACTAGAGGGCTTGGTGTTTGGCGTTGTTTTGTCTACCCCATGTTTTCTATGAGAACATCGCAGAAATTGCGGTAGGCAGTCCTGACCAACCACTTTCCCACAATTATTGCTACCTTTGTTATGCGGAAAAACCACTGCATAGCTTGTGTCAAAAAGTCTGATCCCAGTATTCTCAGTGTGCTCGTCAGCGGCTCAGCTGATTAGGCAGGCATGCAAGTTGATACAAATCGTGGCGAATTGGTTGAAAAGGGTTTGCTGACCATGGCTTTGGTTGTCATTTGTCGCGCTGCCATGCAATAGATGAGACCAGATGCGTTTACTTCTATTTCTTCGCAATGCGAAACCCCCAGTGTTCTTCTTCTCATACCTCATGTCGGCCTGCGCAAAGATGAATAAGGTGACTGATGGTAAGTAGTTCTTGACGAGAGGATCTGTGAGATCACATACGCTGTGGAATGAGGAAGAATTTGGTTCAGAGATCAGTATGGTCTCTTGAGTGGACCTGCATCACGCGTCCGGGAAACCAGCATTCCTGATGGATTCGCGCCAAGATTTGACCCCTGGTCGGCAACACATCGTTCCTCCAGCTAGCGGCCGCGCCCTGAACCCTTGAAACTGGAATAGCCTTTTGCGTCATTTTGGTATACTTGCTAGACCCGCCTCAAAATTGAAGTCTCAATTCATTCTCTAGATTGTGACGCTGTGCTGCAGAACTTTCAGTGAGCGATGTGAGCTACTTTCAACAAACCGTCGTAACTGAGCCTCCCTTTCGAACTCACTCTCGTGCACATGAGTAACCTAATACATCAGAGCCAAGCGAAAATGTCTCTGGCATTTCAGGACTGATAGATTTGGGCGTGCGGCTGAGTTTGTCAGGTCACCTGTGGACCGACACATTTTTCGCGATTACCCTAGAAACAACTCTGTTTTTCGAACCCTATACATGCCAAGAATGATAAAAGGGTCTGGGTACGAAACTTCAGCCCAAGACGATCAACTCAGCAAAGGTTGCGTTGTGACCTACTTTAACCAATTCAGAGAGAAGGGATGGGTCCAGGCCATAGAAGCCCACCAAGGCGCCGACTGAAACAGGAATGCTAGTAGCGACAGCCAAGGTATATCACGTTTATGGTTCGCACTGAAATATATGATAGATGGAAGCATTCCCTGACATGTTCAAGACATCTCTACGCTGTGCAGACACTAGTGCATATGGAGCATCATACACCATCCTTTATGACAGTCCATTTCACAGGTTCAGACAAAGTCGTCGCAATTACAGGCATTAATCTCATTGTTCTCGCCGTTATTTTATTATTCCCACAGCACCCACTCCAGAATCATTCTTGTACTGGAACCCACCTCCGGGCTTTGCATAGAAATGATGAACACTCATGAGGGCCATTCTCAGGCGGCGGTTTGGAGTCTCTATCAATCTTCCTCTACAGGGGTCCAGTCCGCCATTGTAGCCAATCCATACAAGCCTGAAGCGGATGATCTGGAGGGAGGCGTCTTTGCAAAGGATCATCGCCGTGCTGTTGAGCGCGGAGACTTTGCCGATGGTGGCAAGTTCCGATGTAAGTTGTGAAATGATTACCAGCAGCTTTTTTTGCATTTCCAGATAGCTCAAGTATCTTCACTGACGTCTTCCAGCTGTTGTAAAGATACTAGCTGCGTTAAACAATGGTAGCGGTGAAACAATTTGGATGATGGACTCCGGCTGGCTCATCAGTCCTGACACTGTTATCACTGCAGGACACGTTGTCTACGACTGGAAATATAACTGCCAACGTGCGAAAGAGATCAAATGCTACATTGGATATGCTGGGCGTGCTTCGGTTAACGACGAGCAGTACGGTGTTCAGGCTCGTCTCGGTGAGCGAGTGGTCACTACCTTGGAGTGGGTTCAGTCGGGCCCACAAATCGGGACGCACGATGTTGCATTCATCAAGCTCGACCGGCCGTTCGAGGGTGATCTTAGGATGTTCCCCGTCCAAAACCCGACTCCTGTTTCTGGCGACGTCAGGCTCGGCGTTGTAGGATATCCTGGAGACAAAGAGCTCCCCGGGTCAAGGGGTGAAAATGGCGAAGGGGGTGCCTTGATGTATGAAGAGTTCGCTCGTACCAAGTACAATCTCCGAGACAGCACTCAGCATATGATCGAATACCGAGTCTCAACATATGGAGGTAAAGTATACCCTTACTTCTAGCCTGTCAGGAGTTATCATTCTGACTTAATCTCGAATGCAGGCCAATGTGGAGGACCAGTCCTCAAAATCGTCGAGGGCAAGTCGCTGTACGTTGTCATTGGCACTCATTGCTTTGGTTTTGGACCTGGCACGAGCAATTTTGGGACCTCCATTGGGGGTCAATACGGAGTCCACTACGATAATTTCATCGTGCTCTTCGATTCTCCTTTGTTCCCTAATGAAGCGCATTATGGTATAAAGATTCTAAGTGCTGGCGAGATTACGAAGACGACCGCCAGCGAGGCCAAGCTCACTCAGGTGACTGTCAAGATCGAGGACTCACCAAATTCAAGTGGGCTTGGGGAAGCTCAGCTAGACACTGTTCAGAACAACCACTTGCCGAAGCGTCATGATATTGTCAGACCTCAGAAGTCGATCTTGGATCTTATTGAAGGCTTTGGAAAGCCCCACACGCCCGTAAGGTGAGGAACCATCCTGTCAACTATGAGGGTAAAGATGAGCGTACTTGGCAGGCCATCATTGAGGCAACCTTGACATCCCGGGAGAGCACGGGGGTGCCGTCTCCTGAAGGACGAAAGTCCTGGAATTCCAACCCGGATGGCCTGTTCCCAATGAACGAAGCATACATATGAGCCGAACCATTCGCTAACGCATTTTGGTCTTGTGGTAGATGATCTAGGGCCATAGCTGAGATGTGCCCACGCTCATTCTACATCTTGAATGAGTTTCGCTGAGGTGGTGTCGCTTTTTGGCATTTGCACTCCTAGGAGATGAACCTTAAGACCTTCAACGGTCGAAGGTTCTTTCCCTATCTTTGTGATTTTGATTTTTGTGTGTTGAGGGTACGTTTGTGGCATTGGCTAGTCACTCGCTTCAAATGTGCCTCAAGAGTTGATTAAAGTGAAACTATATGCTACAAGTACATGTATGTGTCAGAAAATATCAGACTCAATTTCTTGCATTCAAATAATTCTCTTCTCTTTTTGAATTTGATCGTACCGGATAAGAGACAAGGTTGCTGCGAAACAAAGCTTTTGCCGTCGTCGTCGTATCTAAGTCGCAAGCAGGTTGAATTCCATTCTACTCGACGGTCGAGGCAAGTCCTTCGGGACTAGACAGTCGGATCCTCGCTCGCACTATAGAATTTCATCAAAGAAATCTTTCTTGGCGCGTAAGCTACGGTTTATCTTGCTGAATGATAGCAAACAGCTGTTAGGGGCCAATATCGCGACTTTACCAGCACTCATCTCGAGCCAGACACGTACAAGGGCAGATGTACGGACAGGGCTGGCTACTTCAATGATGCCGAGATCAAAAAAAATTATCCGGGCCAGAGAGGACCGACTACTTCACGATTTCAAGTCCAATACTTCCATTCTTCTCGTTCCTATGGCTCCGGTTGCTGACCAAAGTCCGTCTGGTCTGGACATCTTCATCTCGACTAGTCGATTTTCTTCTCGTTTGGCTCACCAGTGTTCTTTGTCTCGGCCTTACCCACTGACACGACAGGTTCTGCGATGAAGTACCAATGGAATCACGCCAGTGACCAGGGATACCTAGTGATTCGATCGAAGGAAGCATAACTTCCCCGGTTCCACAAACCTCACCATCGACATCCAGGGATTTGGCAAAGAACACGTGAAAGTGTTGTTTGTACCGCCCAAAACCGGCGATATTAGCTGCTTGCAGAGTGGTAGTCCGCATTTGGACGCCGAAAGTCTGCGCCAATTTACATGCCACCATGAATTTTATCCGGAAAGCATCTGCGTCTACATCCTTATGAGGCCCGCCACACCGCTGCCGGAAGTCGTGGGCACGGGAGCGGCTGGGACAAGCTTCACCTGAGCCTCCACCCTCTCTCAAAGTTCGTATGCAAGTATCGTCACTGCAGTTAGGGCATCTGCGGCGAACCCTCCATCAACGGATGGGGGGACAGACCCATTGACCCGGGTGATCAGCCGACCAGCAGACCGGCATACTGTCGGCTCCTGGGAGAAAGTGAAGAAACATGCCGATAATATGAAGCAATGCTTCGTCTCCACGAGATGGAGAACCAGGAGTCTGGCGTGAGTCTGTGCTACAGCACATGCGGGGCCGTTGTCGAAGGAGTCCTGGCCGAGAGCCGCGTCACAAAGAATGGTTCTGTAAGCTCTTGGCCACTCGACAAGCCGATAGCCTGTAGTCGATATCCAAGTACTACCGCATCCAACAGTGTCTACGCCATTTGGAGCTGTTCATGCAATACCAAACTGGTCAATATTGTTGCAGAAATCATCCTCGACGCCATGCTCATCATCGCTCAGGTGATATTGCAACACAAACTCATTGGTCGTGTATCATATGTCCCTCTTTTTGACATAGCTCTTACTAAGCGTGCATATCAGATAGTTTCTTCACTTGTATGACCATAGCAACGCTCAAGCTCAAGTTTGGTAGCGAATCCCAGCTCAGATAGGGTGTTGGATACTGGGTCTGACACTCCTTAATTTCCTTGTTCTATTCGTTCCTCTCTTCTCTTGTCTCTCACTCTGGATCAACAGCTGAAGACAGGGCATATTCCCTGCACATATACGGCAACCACATTGGACCAGATGATTGGACACGCATACGGCACAGGCGAGGATCAAGTCGGAACTTACGAACGGTGTCTCAATCCTAGTGGCGAGACAGACCTCGACCCTAATCACATGAAGAGAATCTCCGACATTCTCAGCATCTTGATTGACGGCGTCTCTTACTTCAACAAGCCAAAGTATAGGAATAGGGGCGGAAAGCCCTCGGCTGCCTCCTTGAGTCCAACTGTCATTATCAATGTACACTTTTCGAAAGTCGGGAAGCGCGACGTTACATTGAGATATTGGCCAAAGACGAAGCAATATATGGAGAATACTGTATCCTACCCATTGCTGTGAGATCTTGAGGTAGATCGACACCGATTCTTGAGACAAGATTACAAGTGCAACAATAGCTTGAGATCAAAGAAGCAGGATTGCTGATACATACGTTGCAAATGTACTGCGTGAACCATCAGAGAGAGATCTGAGCAGCTGAAGACTAGATGAAATAATATCAGGGAAAGGGACTATCCTGTAGGCCTGACCATACATCGCAAGTTTAGTCCTTAGTATGTACGTGGACTGTAGCTTTCATGGAGACTTATACCAAAAGTTAACCTCACGCTGGCGTACAGTCCCTTTATTCGAACTCAAACTTCCCTTGCTGTCTCGATTTCGCCCACCCCAGTGTACACCTACGGCCTTGTATGGCCTTCAATATACCTGATCCCCGGGCTTCATGTAGATCGTCCCATTCTAGACGTACAGATTTCTGCCTTCCGCCAAAAAAAAAAAGAAAAAAGAAAAAAACTTTGCGAAGGCCTTCTAACCGAGAATAGCAGCCCTGGGAGACAATGATCACTCGCTTGTCGTTGCTGATCAAACAGCGGAGATTCGATCTCAGATTTAACAACTTCCAATGAGATGTCTGGCGAGTTTACGAGACACGGTAGAACGAAGACGAAAATGCGTGATCCCGATTCCCTTGCCCATGGCTGTACATAGGCCTCAAACTTGCCAACAACAGCTTCTTCATAATTGCCAGGAAGTTCACCGCGGTTATTCCAGTTTTACGTATTGCCCCCACTCACACCTTGTTCATTATCCTCAGCTTCCAAGCATCTTGAAAAGACATCCAGCTGCGAATAGCGCTGCACTCACCTTATGGAACTGACAAAGCGGCGAGCTTGGTAGTATGCAGCTCAATGGTAGACCATGAATCTTGGTGTCAAGAGCCCTGGAATTATAGAGTGGTCTTCTCATCAACGTCCCTGTCGCATGTCTTTTGAATGTACAAGAAAAGGATTGAACAGTGGTTATACACTGTTGAAGTGTCTTGTAGAACACATCGAAAAGCTTCAGAACACCTTCGTGAGAATACATAAAAGGCATAGGCCCGATGCATTCTTCCACAGACTTCGGCCTTTCTTACAAGAGTGCTGAGGGTTCCCAAAGGGCATATTCTGCAACTAGGGATGTGAAAAAAGAGCATGGCACGAGTTCAAGGTGGAAGTAATGATCAAAGCTCTCACTTCAGTTTCTGCCTTGACATCGTTCCAGGGGCCCAGCATGCCCCAGTGCAACCTGGATCCGGAAATCACTCTTGTGAAGATTCATCCAGGTGTTTCTTGCGAGGAATGCAAGAGTCAAGCTCTGACTTCACCGTCAACATCTCGATTTGCTCTCCAATCACTCCAGGCTTCAAGACATCCTTGCCTTGTCCGAGGGTGACAAACATCTTGAAAGACTCTGAGAAGCACGCGGGGAAGCCTGGAGAAGCGTAACTGAAGTTAGAAGCAAACACTGGGGTGTTATTGCTCTCCACATCATTCTGCTACCCTAACAGAGTACGATGCGAACAGATGCAGTGGAGGAAAATGGTTGTATGGAGTCTAGGTTAGTGGTTCCTTTCTTAAGACAGACCATAGATGAGACAAGTCAAGTGAGAGAGGTCACGCCGTAAATGTTGACACATCATCGAAACCTCGGTCTTGATCTCCCCTGCGGCATCCATAGGAACTTGTCTATCTCGACTTGCCCGTCAAGACGCCCTGATACCTAACATGGTCCGCTCTAGCCGTGTGTTGAAATCCGAAGAAATGAACCTGATAGACTGGAGAGGAGAATGCCTCTGCACAGCGTTCTGTCGTTCTCCCTCCAAGCTTTGGACGTATCAGTGGTTACTTGAAGCTGTCATACCAGAGTGAAACATCTGCTGAGGTCTGCTGTTTGGATGACAACAACCAAGCGGATCGATCTGGGCATAGTTGCTTTGATGAGTACGAAGTGGGGGCGTGGCATAACACCGTCTCATCGTGGAAGAAGTGAAAGGAAGCCAGCAGACAACCTCCCAACTGAGGGTGCCTGTTGAGACTGGAACGGTGATGAAGTGCCGTGCGCCACTGAGCGTGACCCCTGTTTGGCCCAAAATTGCCCATTGTACTTTCGCCCTGGCTGTGCCGCAACTATCAGATATCCAGATTTCGGGTTCCAGAAGCTTTTACGAGGCTCCTGAGTGGTTGCACCCTGGATGATGTTGAGCAAACTCCGGCCACGGCCCAGGGCTGTTGGCTGTTGGTATGCCTGTCACAGGGTAGCTGGTTCGAACCGTCCCGTTCTTGATTGATGAATGGTCAAGTTATGTCTGTTGATTGATTCTGCGTGATGATGTAAAAGGGAGATTCCAACCGTAGGTTTGAGGGTCAATTGGGGTCTGGTCGAGGGTTGGAATAGCCCCTTGCGCTGCCAGAATTGGACTTCCAATTAACAGGGCCTCGCTCTGCTCGTGGCGGTTGCGAAGCTCAGCCTACGGGGGGCTGCATTACACGACAGTCGGGCATACGATGGCAAGGAATGGGGAAAAGCCGAAAGACGCCTGATGAAGTCGAAGGCAGATGGCAGCGGGGCCACCTCGGGGTTGAGAGACGTTCAGCGTGTGACCGGAACCCTGCGAATTCGAATGACCGTGGCTGTTTGAGAACGCTGTGATTGATCTTAGCCCGCGATCCAGACCAGAGAAAAAGAATGGAGCCAACTCTGATCCTACCGTCCCTAATGATGGGTAGGTTGTTTCGTCGTTACCAACTCAGTCAGCCACAGGCAAGGTCATCGGAAAAGATTCCCGGCGGCATTTGGCGATTTACGTAAGCGATATCGTCTTGCCGGGGGTGTGCGGTGGCCAGAAAATGGGCTCTCCTTATGTAAGCCGGCCCATGTCCACAGCCTGTGAAATGCACGTTTGGGAGCTGGCAGGTTTTGGAGGCAGCAGCTGGTGCCGGATGTCCTAAAGGCCAGCATCGGTGCGCTCGGGCCACATTAGTAAGCGTGACAAGCTCACAATGGCCAGGCGGTCAAACCGCGCAGCGGAATTCTAACCGTCGCGGAAGCGAGGAGACTAATAGGTACACATCAGACGCACTTTCAAGCAACGAGTCGACCACCACCGTGCGGAATGCAAAACTCTCTGTAATATCCATAGGCACAGCCAAAATTTGGTGGTCATCTACACGAGCTGTGTGATTGATGTACGTGTATTGATTCACGAGCGTCTATGGCGGTGAGAATTCCATAGCGCCTTGCTGCGAGCTTGCTGCGCTCGCTAAGGCACTGTGGCTTGAAAGCGCCACTGAGGCGCCAGGGCCCACCGCGTGTGGCGTAATGCGCCCCCATCCATCCCCGCGTGTGCTCCCGTGCTTCGTTATCAAGTCACAACATTCAAGCCCGGCCCATTCGATGGGAGCAATGGTTTGCCTGCCATCGAAGGGCGCGGCATGCTTATTATATACCACTGGGTTGACAATGCACATGCGACGTACTCCTCTATCAGGTTCCCGATGCAATCAACACAACCGCTTGCTCTCGGCACGAAAGTTGTCTCCGCACTGGCTCTGGCAAGTCTGCTTCAGCAGGAAAGGTCGTTTTCCAGGCCGCACCACGTGGAGATTGCAGAGTCCAGAATCTGTCACCCCTTGGCGGGCGGAATGCACGTCGTCGTAGCGGGAGAAGAGCAATTATCGCCGTCAATCTGTACAAATAAGCCGAAGCTGAGATGGGCACGTAGCCTGAGGTTATCGCTGACAACAGAAACTGCGTCTTACCGGCGGAGGACGAGATGCCCCCAAACCAAGAAAGATACTTGCATTTGAAGCGCTGCGCTACCGGGCCGGAAAAGAACGTCGTAGACCATTCCCCCGCCGCTGCCATGGGCACACATGTCGGCATGACGGTTGCGCCGTTCAAGATGCGAACGCCTACACCTTCACCAGTTATCATGGGGTGGGAAAACGCGGCGAGAGCCAAGGTTATGATTGACTTACTTTCGGTATTACGTGGATCACTCGAGTGAGTTCGTCCAGATGGCCTCGTCCTCGCACCAAAGACGTGCTGTGGTTGCGCGCCTAAGGTTTTGAAAGCATTGCGTCTTGACGATGGGATGTATCATGGTCAGAGCGGGTACGGGAAGAGATATTGACGCAAGTCCATCGAATCTCCGACAGAGGCTATCTCACGACAAGGTACTGATGGACAGGTGGTGTTGACAAGTGGTCAGCTGTCCAAACTATCGTGCATTGTTTTCTGGATGCATAGAGAATTCTTGCTTGCCAGGCTGGAAGATGTACGTCATGCCGAAAGTTTACCTAGCCTCCCCACGACACAACACTGACGGGGCCTGCGCAGAGATCGCCTCGGTTGCCAGAAAGTACCACATGTCTCAGCAGCGACAAGTGCAGGAGATACTTGCGTCCTTCGTGCAGTCCAATAACCCGTAAATTGCCAACTTTCTCCATCAGTTCTTCCATCCTCGAGCTCCCACAAAGATCCGAAGAGATAATCGGTCTAGGAACTCCATCCTCCACATTTTAGTCAAGCAATTGGATGTCGGTTGCGGGTTCTCCGTTATCGCTCTCCATGTACGTGTCTCGACGTCTGATTGTGGCGGCGGCTGGAGGTCGTACGTAGCGCTCCCGTCAGGCCGGGTCATCGGAGGTAATTGTCGCAAGCACCATCGCCATAGGAGGGGTTGGGAAGAGGGTTGCGCCGAACGTCTTCGGAGCTCGAGAGCGCTGTTTTTGCACTTGATGCGGGTGACTATTGAGGAATATGTGTCAGGGTGATGAAGTCAATCACAAGCTAGCTGGGTAACTTACTGCCATCGGGCTTCTCGCAATCCTTGAAGAGATGACCCTCCACGTCGCAGATGCGGCACTTGATCTTGCGAGGCTCAGTGCCACCCCTAGAGACGTGCCCTCTTCGTCGCAGTTGCGGCACTTGTTCTTGCGAGGCTCGAGGCCCCCTGAGAGACGTATCCTCCTCGTCTCAGTTGCGGCACTTGATCTTGCGAGGCTCAAGGCCTCCCCGAGAGACGTGCCCTCCTCGTCTCAGTAGCAGCACTTGATCTTGCGAGGCTCAGGGCATTCCTAAGAGACGTGGCACTCCCGAGAGACGTGCCCTCCTGGCCGCGGTTGTGACAAGCACGACCGCCACCACCCTCGCTGCGAAGCCCACCTCTCCGGCTCACGGGCGCAGTAGCAGCGTTTTGGACATACTTGGACCGTATTATGACGTCGATTGCGGCCGACTCCTAGTCTAACGTTAACTCGGGATCTGGAGTTTTTCCGCCAACGTTAGAAGTGGTGCCCAGAAACGTTTCATCAGGGCCGGGAGTGACTCACTGCCCATTACAAACAACTGACTTGGAGCTTGCACGCCATGCCGGTGGTACTACAACAGCTCTTTAGGCCACATGTAGTGGCGGCAGCCGGTCCCGTCCAATTCCTCGCATCGCAATCTCGCGGCTCCTGCCCTCTCTTTGACTGTTTCGAACGTTACTGTTCCGCTCAATGATCACATTCGCTTTGATCCAGATACAGTGATGAAAGGACGCCGTTGCAGAGGTTGGGCAGAAAGAGCCAAGAATGATAGATATCGTGCCAGCTCTTCGACTTTGGATTGGACTCGCTGTCGCCGCCTGCCGTACTGCCGGCTTCTTTGGCGTTTGGGCACATCTCGCAGCCATGACCAACTTCCGAGAAGACTTTTGGTTGACAATTCGAGGCGGTAATCATCTATTCAATGTCAGGTGTTCTGACTCTCGAGGAGATTGGTTCTCAGCGCCAGTCTGGAAGACCTACCGTCCCCTGGGCTCACTGCCCGAAGCCTCAGCAACATAGGCGCTTGAGCCTGGCCGTTGTGACGACATGCTTCTTTGGCGAAGGTTTCAAGGGCTCAGCGACGCACTTGCCAGGAGAGAACCAGTCTGTGAAAGTCTCCTGGTGCCGCGCTCGTTACTATTGACGTGAGATGGGCGACGGGCGGGAGCGGGAGCGCCGGTTCGAGGAGTCGGAACTAGGGGGACAAGTGGGATTGAGTGAAGGCGGCATCGCAGTGACTTTGTGACATTTGTACTTGCATCGTACCTAAAAGTATACCGAGCCCGATCAACAAGATTCCCATAGATCCAATCGAGAGTCGATGTCTTGCCAAGGTTGGTTGACGAGAACCGCAGAGCTTGGTAAAAGACAAATGAAATCACACCGAGGGATGACTAGCTGCTATTGGATTCTCGACAGTTGACGCAAAAGGTGGGTTTGGAAGGCGGTCTGGGTTACATGACCGGCTCTTCTACTTACAGACAGCCTCTGGAGGACCACCTCTGAAGCAATCGTGGACCTCACCCACTTCCTCCTACTTCCACCTCCACACAGAAGTAAACACCAATTGAAGCTGCGCTGCGGGTAGCGGGGCCCCAAGCATCGCATCACGAGTTTGAGGGGGACGTGGCGGAGCCGACGGGTATGTAGTCGGAGATGTCGAGCATCGGCGGGATGTCTTTGCCGTGTGGAGGCTGGTGCGGAGTGGTTGTGCTGAATGAATGTGGGATGAAATTGATCGCAAAAGTCGATTCGGTAGCACCGCATGGTCGTGGCGTGAATGGAATATGGAACAAGGGAAGCTTGCCAACCGTACGGTTCCTCTGCTGACGTGTGTACCAGCAGCTGCTGGAGAGACGATGGTCGGCACCACTTCGAGCCAGAGCAATCGAGAAAGAGGTAGACGATAATCATCAATAGATGAGGGAGTTTGGGGCAAGTGAGAACAACGCCATCAAACAAGCACAATAATTGCGAGGAATGCCATCAGAGAATGCTAGGTCGATGGGGAGGAAGCCATATTTACCGGAGTGATGCAAGGTCAGGTAAGGTAGGCAAGGGGAAGGTGCATGGTCGAGACTGGCAACAGTGGAAGGAGAGGAAAGAGCTTGTTGTTGGGAAGGCAGGAAAGAGTGACCCAGCCGACCAGTCGCAGCAGTTGCCAGCAATTGACGAGTGGAAGGAACAATGCTCATTTATTACCAGCAACAATGCTGCTGTCAAGTCCCATGTCGACCAGCAGCATTGACAGCAGCTGCGATGGATCGCGCCTGCCAAACACATGAGTGGTCTGTGCTCCCAGTCCAGTCTGTCTGTCTGAAGTCCGGTGTGCGTGGGTCAGATTCCCGGTACAATGAGAGGAAGGGAGGCTTCCGAGGTTAGCCGGGTGGGGTTTTTGCTGACCAACCTCACGTGACAACAGCAACGACAACATCACCAATAGCATTGCTGTGTGTCAAGTCCTGTGTCAACGGAGGTTTCTCAGCTGTCATCAGGTATGAATGGTCAATCAATTACGTGCGGATCATCTCACTTAGATCGACAGTGTGCAGGCAGGCCAAGAAGACGACCCAGAGACCCACCTAGAAAGCTTTCACCGGAACGTTCTTACTCTGGTTCTGCCAGGTGGCGCTGTTATCTGTAGATGTTCACATGAGGAATCGGGGGAAAGGAAACTATGGTATTGAACAATGAACGACATCAATTACATGTGCCTGTCGCGGAATTGTGTGCGGCAAAGCCCTGCCGGATAAAATTGCACTCGTGGAAGTCCCACAACACAACCGACCAGCTGCCAAACTTCTGCATTTCACGACTCACAGGCTGTAGATGTATCATCATCTATGTTGGCCTCGCCTTCGGAGCTACAGCTCTTCAGCTTTGCCATAGGTTGAGCGAGTGTGGAATGGAAGCTGGCATAGGTCTCATTGCTTCCAACAAGTGTCCAAACAAGGCGGAACCACTGACGGACAGCAAACCAGTGAACTTGATATCTTCCGGCAAGCACGCTCCACCAGAGTTGATCCTTTGATATATTTTTAAGTTTTGCAGGTGTGCCTTGTACAGACAGCGCTCGGTCTCAGAGCGATGTGTGAAACTACGCGCATATTGAGTGAAGATGTATCTGTTCATCCAGCCATTTCACTAGAATTTGCATGCCCTTTGAGCTTGAAAACGAAACACCTACTCTTTGACTGTGGAACGTTAAAACTGTGCTGTATCTTCCCGAGTTCCAAGGTGGGGAGCCTCAGACACGAACAAAGCTCACAGTCATCGGAACAGAAGGTGACGAGTTAGCATCCACGTCATTAAGTGAAGCTTGTCTCATCTTTCACCACGTCACAGGGACGCGCGAGCAGCCAATCCAACCGAGGACCTTCCTCGGCACATGACGCAAGGGCGGCAAGGAAATGTCAATTTGAGTAAAGCTCAGTCATAGCTGCGAAAACGTACATCAGTCCACATCCATCAGAACTGTGATATCGACTAACGCATCACATAGGTTTCATGAGAGAGCATTCAACTTTCGTGAAATGTTGCGGGAGCCGACAAGACATTCAAAGTCGTCTAGAAAGATATGATCAAAGAGAAAAAGCATCAGCGCACACGTTGAGCAAGCGGTGCCAAATCCACTATTGACCTACGGTTCTTCTTATCGGCAGGATGAAGCCACATGCCAATCTTCCTGGCAGTCAAGAGGAATCCTTCACTGCTCTGGGTATGCTCCAAAGCCACTGTAGGTTCGCAGCTGCTTCCGAGGTCAGAAGATATGCTAGGTTTCATTATAATATAACTATTCTGCTGAACCGTTGAATAGACGATTGAGGAACTAAGCAAGCCTATTGTTGGATTACGAGGCAGAAAAGGGGCCTAGGTAGGCAGTTGGGTATGGGTAGTTAGGTAGGGGTGGTAGGGAGGCGGTATGGGCCCGTGCGACGGGCCCTTCTACCTACTTATACCCATCGATAGATCGCGGGCTCTGCCCATGATCCTTTCCTTCTATATACGCTCAATAGACCTAACATGACCTATTGACCTACGTTGCGACCGAAAGGTCTGACCTGCTTACGTGTATACCAACACCCATGATTGTGGGTTTGGGTGGAATGGAATTCCTCGAAGGTTGAAAATCTGAAGCGTGGAAGTTCAGGTCGACTGCGAGTCAGGGCAGAATCAAAGCCCAGCTCCGAGACCCTTAATCAGGCCTCGACTGCTGACCCTATCTATGGTTGGGATCTTCCTTTTAAATCGTTACGCAGAACCAATCAACAGACAGCAACTGACCCATCGTCACCCACAGAGCCTATCGGTTTGAACCAACTACAGCAATATTTACACAGACCTCTGGCGGCGAGACCACGACTTCAGGCCCTTCTATCATGGCAACCACTGCCGGCCCATGGAGTGTATCCGCGGAGAAGCAAAATTCGACCCTTCCACCACGGAAAGTCGACGGCTTTATCGTCGGCGACTCCAAGTCAAGATCCCCATCAGATCATCCCGTCTAGAAGAGCTTACTGCTGGCCCCCGAAGATTATCAACCGAATACGACACTGGCGGCAACCAAGTAAGGAAGGAGGAGACTGCCGCAAGATTCCCGCACAGTTGTACGACGCAAAGAGGGACTTCAGAGGAGGCGCCTCATCGTAGATGAGAGACGCCTTCACTGCGGCTCTCTCCACCTTCAAAGTTGCGCCTTGCTGTCGTCGGCATCACTTTCTGCTGTCAGAGAGTTAAGAACCCAGACCTACGAAGTCAAAAGACCCCTTTTCATATCTCTCGCATGGCAGCAGATCACCGATCAGCGGAAATCCGTCTAGTGTACGTACATGCCTCCATGGTATCTACTCCAGGAGAGGTGCAGCATCACCGAGACGCTGTTCGGCCATCCACAATCTGTTCCAATAGAAGAAGAAGGCTAGGATGGCGGAAGAACCATAGGAGAGCTCATCGACGAGAGTTGCCGCGCCCGTCAACAACAACAGCCGACGAGCGGCTCGACTCTAAGCCCAGCAACATTTAACACGCCAGCCACCTCTAGTAAGAGCATTACCCAGGGTATAGCTATAAGTGAGTCAGTAAGGATAGCAACGGCCAGGGTGCCCATATCTCTCAAAGAGGTGGGTATTAAAGCTTCATAATCGAGCAATTGTGCATTCAATCCGATGGATACGACAAATTGCCAGCAAGTCGATGCCGCCCTGATTTCTTTCACTAAAATCTACTGCAGATGTGAATTCGAAGGTCAGTCCCTGATATACTAGATGACCGACGACCTCAGCCACTTGTCGACGTAGGGATTGATGTGCTGGGTCCTTTGTGCCAGTAAAGGCGTCGAAGCATCGGGAACCAAAGCCGTGTCGCGGCATGTGGTCCTCCGCAACCAATCCTCTTTGACAAGCGCGATGTGGATTTTTGTGAGCCCGAAGGTCCTCCTTCCGCCATAGAGTATCGACGGCTCGCATTGAGCGGAAGTGAGTAGAGGGTATGTGATAGTGAGGAAATTGAATATGAGTGAAGCTTGGTCCTATGTGCGATAATGTTCCGAGGCTACGTGATGAAGGTAACAGTATCCGCAGAGTTTGCATGACAAGGCAAATCAGTTCGGTGTTGCCGCAATATTCTGGGACTATAAAACCTTGACGCTCCTATGGCGTTGGTGTTTTGAGGGATTGGTGAAGTCAGGGGTCGTCACTGCTCGCGAGAGATCAGTCTACGGACTAGTCGTGGATGGGAACTTCATGGCCCTACCTTGGCTGTGGCCAGAGAGATCATATCATGCGGAAACCTCCAATGTCTTCGCATTGGGATCGGGGAGGCATTTGGTCTTTGTGCGTTGGACCTGCTTTCCGCGAGGCAGATGCTGGAATGATGTTCTTTTGGAGGAGCTGCAAAGGATTTGTGTTGAGAGCGGATCAACGTCCATGTTGGAAAGCCTGGTTTGCCTCTTGAGAAGTGTCTATCGGAGCCAGGATGATATGGATGTCCAAGATTGCTTTGCCCGATCTCGCAATGACCAGAATGTCAGAATGACCCCCAATTGAACGGCAAATATATCCACCAGGAAGATCTAGGTGGGTGAGGACTCGCTCCGCTGACCTTCAGGCTTCGTCAGTCTCACGCCTTCAGCTGAAGTGATCTATTGTAGATACAGATTAAGAGGTCCCAAAACCGTCATCGGCTAGTCCAAAGTCAGTGAGGAATCAATCTGAATCTCCAGTTCTGAAGCGGTATCTAAGCGCTTGTAGAATCTCGGTCTTTGTCCTGAACAATGGATTACATCAACAGTCGAATCTCAACTACTAGAGCTCCAGAAACGGTGCATTGCCGGGCAACATGGCACCTCATGAAGGTGAGTCCGAGGTTCCAGGGAGCGTGAAACATCAGCATGACGCGCATGTTTCTGATATTCACGATGTTCAAAAACAATCCGGTTAGCTGTTTCTGTTCACGCTTGATGGCACCACGATTTGTAACGAGGTGTGCTCCTGACACAATTTTGTCCTTCCTGCCCGTTCCCTATTCAGAGTCATCTGAGACGGGGAGAGGGTGGAGTGGCACGAGTCAGAAAAGATTTGATCGAATCAAGCCTTCACATATATATGTTGCGCCCGCAGTTTGGTATCTTGCCAATCTCGGCGGTTTACCCAGGTTCTCTCAGACGAGTTGGCGGTTTGGCCTCTAAAATTTCGACGTCGGGGGTGATTACCTAGGTCTTCATCGCCGGGAGTCGTCCCTGGAGGAAATACTTAGTCGTGATCCGGACCGATCCTCCAAGACTGTGCTGAATCAATGGCGTAGCTCGGGGCCAGTGTCAACGTGAGTCTGCAATCTTTCATCTTTGCTAATCTCCATCGGCATTGATTGAGCAGGGGTCGACTGCCTATGTTATATGCCTGCAATATTTCGCAAAGTTAGAAGCTTGAAAACAGGCCAACATATGCTTCTATGCGCACACGCTCGTCATGCGTGAAGCGACACTGTTTTTTAATAACGACTAATGCTCAAGAGAAACCTGGCCGTTTGTAGGCTGAGCATACCCAAGGACGAGTCTCAAGTCTATGTGACCTTGTTTTATTTTCCTCTTATGCAGATGGCGAGTTGCTTGTACACGTGAATAGGTGCCAGGAGCTCCAGGCGCCTGTATCATATACTGGACGAATGATGTTCTTCGAAGCTCCTGTGAACCGATGTTGATCACGCCAGCAGTGATACCCGCATATCCAATCACTGCCGACAACCTATCTCCCTTGCTTTCCAC